TCAAAGAGGTCACATGGCAGTGCAGTAATTCTTGCTTAGTAACACTTAAATTTAGGCTTGCTGCTTTGGGGAAAGGCCAGCTTCTGGCTCACTCCTTCCTTTGTTCAGGTCTGCTCAAAGGTTACCCCCTTCCCTGAAGTTCCTGTCTAAATAGGGCTTCCTCTCTCAGCGCCTGCCTTACTCTCTATCCATGCACTGTCCAACATGGTAGCCATTAGCCAAATGTGACAATTAAAATTCATGAAATTACATAAAATTTAAAAATTCAGTTCTTTGGTCACACTAGCCACAATTTAAGAGCTCAATAGTCACCCGTGGTTAGTGGTTAGTGGACAACACAGATACATCTTTACAGAAAGGTCTAGTAGGCAGTGCTATTCTATGCTTTTACCCTGGCTTTCATTTTCTTTCTAGAACTTTTGCAACATTATGCCACATACTTATTGATTTATTTATGTTCCACTGGAATGTATGCTCCCACTAGCAGAGATCTTTTTTTCTAGAACATAGCAGATCTTCAGTGCCTTAACCAGCGCCTATTACAGTTCTCTGTAAATACTTGTTGAGTGAATGAACAAACAAATAAATTTTAGTATTTCAAATAAAAACTATTTTGTCTAATGTCCTTGGGTGACTTAGCACACTGTCCTGCTACAGTTTTTAAGATGAAAGAATGAAAATTCTGTAACCAAGGACACATATTTTTAACATAATGTGATGTTATTAAATATACTAGCCAAACTTTTATTTCTTTAATCATTCATATTAGGAAGGATAATAAGTATGAAAATTCCACTTAACAGCTAATATATTGTCCTGAACATGAATGTAAAAAATATCAGTCTTCTTTGGATTAAGAAGTCATGTGAGTAGAATGAGAAAGGAAAGAACTTACTATATAACTACATTAGTTATGTACATTAGTATGTAATTGAAAGCAACTGCAATACATTGCAATGGACTCTATGAAGGTAATATTGTGCAATTAAATCATAATATATTCCAAAATTGTATAGAAATGTCAGTTTACTTGAATTAATTTCAAATGAAAATTATGCATGAAATGATTGCAGTACCTAAAAGGAATTTGCTGTCTGAACGAAATATAACTAGAAGCATGACTACCCTAGGTTTGCCTATAAATAGACATTGAAGCTAGTTTTGTGATTTCTGCCAAGGATACAGCTTCAGTGGCCTTGAAAAAGATTGTTTGTCTTCTCTTGGGCCTAGCTTTTTCAGGACATACTTGGAATAGTGATGGAGGAAGAAGCTCCCTGGCAGAGCCTGACAGGTCTGGTCAATCCACTTTAACAATTAGCCAAATGATAGATGTCAGTTGGCGTCCTGTCCCATTCCACTTACTGACAATTAGGAATTAGGCAGAGTAGGAGTGTTTTCTCCTTTACTCTCCCTTTCTAAAATGCAGATATTTTCTGAGTAGTGTTAGTACTCAGTGGCTTTGCAAATGCACATCTTGGGGCATCTGTAGCCTGTGCAGCGTTGATATTATTTTTCTATTACAAGTGAAAAACACCATGGTTAATGTCCTTGGATAACCTTGCATACTTTCATTGGTTTTCAGTCAGGTCCAATGAAGGGCCAGGTTCTTCATAAAAATAATGACTAACTTTGGAAACCCATATGTTCAGTTAAGGTTTCTGAGCTGCAGTAAATATAAAGAGTCATCAAAATGTTTATATTTGCAATTTCCATTCTTGATTCTTTTTTGAAAATCTATTCCATGTATTTATCTGAAAATTTTTATTTCCTTTGGTGCTGGATCCAGAGTACAGTTTTTAAAACTTTATGTCAGAGGTGGAAAGGCAAATTCACTTGCTGTTAAGACTTCAGAGGTTGTTTTAGCTACCAAGAGACCATCGCCTATGTGCTGAGGATAATATGAGAGCCATATTCTGAGTGCCTAAGTCTATTGATTTTATTCAGGCAGAGTAAAGAAAATGACCCTGTGGCAGTTTTCTGTTACAAAGAAGTGGAAAAGTAAGTTGTAAAAAGGAAGCTAGCTGAGTTGCTTGATGCACAGTTCATGCTAATTGTAAATTTTATTAATGCCTAACTGTATAGTCAGGATTCTTTTGCTAGCGTGAGGGCCTGGTGAAGACTTCAGCAGTCACTGCGGGGAAATGTGCTGCCAGATCTCTCCCCTCCAAAGGCTATCTAATGGGTAATGAATTCAGAATTGACCTCACAGAATCTGACCATTACCGATGGAAAAGCAAAGTAAACATCATCCCTGAGATACTTTTTCATCTGTTCATGAGTCTATATGCTTATTACTACATATAGAAATTTGGCTACTCAAATAAGAACTTCTTTCTGTTCAAAGACTTAACAAGCCAAATGCCAAGAGTGTTGTACTCTGTACAGATGAACATCCATCCATCCATTCATACTGGAATGTTTCTTTCTCAGTTGATGCTTAGGAACCATCTTTAGATTTTGATCCATATAGAGATTCTAAGATAGTTTATTGAGACACAGGTTTGCAGGTTATTATTTTTCTAAATTTCTGTTCTATGAGTGAAATTTTTTTTTTAAAGACTTTATTTATTTACTTGATAGAGAGAGAGACACACACAGTGAGAGAGGGAACACAAGCAGGGGGAGTGGGAGAGGGAGAAGCAGGCTTCCCGCGGAGCAGGGAGCCTGATGCGGGGCTCGATCCCAGGAC